CCTCCAGAACCAAGCCATGGGGAACCTACGAGGAAGCTTCCTCAGGGCGTTGTCTACGGTGTGGTGCGCAGATCGGATCCCAACCAACAGAAGGAAATGGTCGTGTATGGCTGGTCCACCAATCAGCTGAAAGAAGAGATGAACTACATCAAAGATGTGAGCTACTCGGGGATGCTTTGTTTTTCTCTCCTTTGAAGCAGCTAGGAGGGTGGGGTCTGAAGCGTGGATGGGAATGTTAAGTAGGCATTTTGAAAGTCTTATTTGGATTGGAAATGTTTCTCTGTTTCTTTGTGGTGATGCTAAAGGGATGGGTATAATTCTTCAACAAGCTTCTCTTGGGTGGCTGTTACTTACAGGTCATGAGAGCCAGGGCTCCTGCTGGGTGTGGTCTGGAGGCTCTTGGGTGGTTTTGCGTAAGATACCAGACACATATAATGTATGTGTTTGGGCAGCTGTATAAGTGTGGGTGTTACTGGCTACTCAAAAGAGAACTGCCAACTCAGAAAGAAATGCATCTTCTCTGGAGATGAAGTGTAGAGGCGGGGGGTTCTGGGCAGGGCATAACTGGGCTCTGGATCTAGTTTTTTGTATTTCTTTGTATGTTTTCTTTCTTTAGCCTCAATATTGTCTCATATATGTATGTACACACATATATATACACACACATATATACATATATGTGAAATTATTTTTATGTCTCACATATATGTACATATAAATATATATAAAAATTTCCCACATCTTGAAATTTTTTGAAGTTGCCCTGCTCCCATTAGACTTCGCCTAACATGGCTTCTTGACCAGGGTTTGTTACATACCCCTCCTACACCAATCACTTACAGGGAGCATAGGCAGACTTGGAAGGTTCACATCAATGATTTGGGTTAAAATGAATGTTGGGAAGTCAACTACAATAGACAAAGTACAGTCTATGTGAATCACTGAAATTAATTTGTATTTAATGTATTGTAGTAGGGACGCCGCTTGTTCATTTCCCGACTGCCCAGACTCCCAAAATATCACACAAAAACTGTATTAATTAAATCACTTTTGGGCCAATTACTTAAGCATATTGCTAGCTAGCTCTTATATCAAGAATTAACCCATTTCTATTATTTTATATTTTACCATGAGGCTCATGGCTTACCAGCAAGGTTCCGATGTATCTTTCTCCGGTGGCAGCTCCATGGCTTCTCTCTGACACTGCCTTCCTTCTCCCAGAATTCAGTTTAGTTTTCCCCACCTACCTCTATTCTGCTCTACCTCTATTATTCTCTGTGCAGGCCCAAGACAGTTTCTTTATTTACCGATGGTAGTCATAACATACAGAGGGTAATCCCACATCAATGTATTGTCTTGTGTCTTTTAAGTTGAGAAAGTTTGGGAGAAGTATATGAAGAAGAAAACAATTGGCCATTGTGTCACCATTCAGCCTGTCCTAGATGTTGACATTTTGGGTCATTTTCTTCGAATACTTTGATGGCTGTCTGACTGTTTCTTTGTGTTACCCATGTCCCCTTTCCAGACAAGTCTGACTGATACTGTTAAGCTCAAACCAGATTAGTTAGAGGAGAGAAGAAATGAACTGCTCTGGTGTCCATGGGTTCCAAACACAGACCCATAGCTCAGTGCCGGAGGAAGCAAATGTCTACACGGGGCTGGAGAAGTTCCCCAGACCTGTGAGCTCATTGCTTCTGTATCAGATCCAGGTTCTTCTTAGTGTGACCTTCTGTCCTCTCTAGCCCTCCGTTTATGCATCTACAGGTACCTCTTATCCGTGAGGTCAAAACCACTGGCTTTGTGAGTCTCGTTTGATTTGGGACAGATGATGTGCAAAGCCACATTGCCTTAGATATTGTATGAGTTGTTTTGTTTTTTATAACAAATTCATGGGCTGGGAGATGATACAGTCCATAAAGTGCCTACTGCACACGCATGAGGACCCGAGACTTCAGCCCCCTAGTATCCATGAAAAAGTGTGTGGTCGGTGGTTAGATATACGATGATCCCTGGAGCTCACTGTCCAGCCCGTGTAGCTGAATAGATGACCTCCAAGTTCAGTGAGAGATCCTACCTCGAAAAATAAGGTGGAGAATGACCAAGGAAGATACCTAATGTTATCTTCTGGCCTCCATACATGTATACACACCCATACACACACATGCATCCCTCACAAGAACAGGTACAAACACACATACATATATGTGCATTTGCACATAAACACACACACACACACACACACAAACACACAGTATATCACAGCCACCAGTCTTGAACACCCAGTTATCTGACCTCCCAAAGATCGTTTCTTTAATCATGCAGGATGTTGGATTCCAGATTGTTATTTTTAAATATAACTTATTTTTATTTTATGTGCGTTGGTGTTTTGCCTGCATTTATATCTGTGGAGGGTGTCAGAAGCCCTGGAACTGGTGTTATAGACAAGTGTGAGCTGTGATGTGGAAATAAACCCAGGTCCTCTGGAAGGGCAGCCAGTGCTCTTAACTGCTGAGCCATCTCTCCAGCACCCAGACTGCTTTTAAACAATGCAGACTTTCCTTTTCTAAGGAACTATTTAGACTGTCTTCATCTATATGCTCCTGAGAGCTTGGGATTGCTTTAGAGGTAGAACTTCTAAGTAGAACCCAGGCTCCCAAATTGTTGAAGACAAATACAGCAGGTCCAGGCTAATCCTCAGCTATAAATGACATATGTTGAAATCACAGAGCTAGTTCTGACCCCAAATTCCCACGTTCCACTGTGATCTGCAATACAAAGTTAATTTCTAGGTCCCACCTTCAACGACTGGTTTTAGGTCCATCCCAGCCTCCTCATTCCTCAGTGTGTTTATGAGTTTGTTGCTCCTGATGGGAGACACCCTGGCCTTATTGGCTTCCTACACTGTTCAGTGGGAGCAACACCCAGCTTGAGATTCTGCCCATTCACCTCCGGTGACAGCATAAGAGCCAGCTAGGGTGATGGAGTTATTTGTAAATGGAGACTGCTCATTCATTTCTGGCTGCCCAGACCTGAATAATCATACAAAACTATATTAATTACAACACTGTTTGGCTTATTAGCTCAGGCTTCTTATTGGCTAACTCTTATATCTTATATTAACCTATTTCTACTATTCTATTAATCCATGTATCACTATGATGCTGTGACCTACCGGTAAGGTTCCGGTATCTGACTTCTTTCATCAGCTACATGGCATCTCACTGACTCTGCCTACTCTCTCTCTCTGTTCTGATTTTCCACCTGGCTTTACTCTGCTAAGCCATTGGCCCAAACAATTTTATTCATTGACTAATAAAAGCAACACATACACAGAAGAATATCCCACATCAGTTATTGACCCCCTAGAATGAAGGGTCATGCTTTGAGCCTCAACTTTCCAGTTGTTTGTGGTCAGTGGAAAGAAAGTAGACTATTAAAACTTCACTGTGTAGGGTCTGGAGGGGCGGCTTAGGGGTTAAGAGTTCCTGCTGCTGAGGATCCAGATTTGATTCCCAGAACCCACCCATGTCAGGCAGCTCACAAATGTCTGTAACTCCAGTTCTAGGAGAGACCCACACCTTCTGGCTTCCTCTGGAATCAGCACGGACTCTCTGTCTCTGTCTGTCTGTCTGTCTGTCTGTCTGTCTGTCTGTCTCTCTCTCTCTCTCTCTCACACACACACACACACACACACTTAAAAAATAAATGAAATCTTTAAAAAAAATCCCTCATTTAGAAAATGCTTGAGGTCTTGACTCCTCTCTTCTAACTTTCCATCAATATCCATTCTAAACCAAAATGTAGCTCTGTGTTAGAGTTCTTGCCTAGCATGCTTGAGGCCTTGAGTTCAAATCCCTAGTATAAAAAAGAGAAAACAAAACCATCAAAGCAAAACAAGGTGTTTCTTACACAAATATACCTTCAGTATCAAGTCTTCCAGTACCATTCTTTTTTTTTTATTGAGAAAAGGAGAAAAAAAAAACAACAACAAAAACAAAAAACAAGTTTCCACCTCCTCCCAGCCTCCCATTTCCCTCCCCCTCCTCCCACCCTTCTCCCCCTCCTCCCACCCTTTTCCCCCTCCCCCCACTCCTCTCCCCCTCCCTCTCCAGTCCACAGAGCAGTCCAGTACCATTCTTAAATATTAGCACTGAAACAAAACGGTTTTCTTCAGCCATTTGTAAGGTCGACAGCCTGGAGGAAGCTGCCTCTACGCCTTATCTGTTGGGGACTCCGAGAACGTTCCAAACATCTAAAGACACCATAGGATAGGGAAACAGGGTGGTGTTCCCACTTAACACTCCTCTGGTAGTCACCCCAGTCCAGACTTGCATAGTGTTTGTACGAGTGCGGGGTGGGGACCACGTTCCTCTCTGTTACCCCGTGTATGGTCTGTTGATAATTACTGAGAAACTGACATCTGAGTTTCTGGCCCCTTCAGGCCTCATGTTTTTCCACCTTGCATTCTAGACATTTAATTGCTTTTTGGCATTTGGAACACAGAGAGAGAAAATGAGAGGTTGCTGCTTGCTTTGGAGTGTTTTCATCCTTGTAGCCATGTGTTTACAGTCAATTAGTTAAAAACTTCCTGCTTGTAAAAACATGAGACTGGAAGGGGTAAACTTGGTTCAAACAGTGATTGGGGGTGATGGGTGAGTTTTAACAAAGTGGTTGTTCTTCAGTTTATTGCTCGGATAACTTAATGTTTATGAGTTCTTATCCTCATTGATATACACATTATCTGGATAACTTAGTGTTTATGAGTCCTTTTCCTCATTGATATACATATTATCATCTGGATCATTTCCACAGTTTCTAACTAGATGTTGAAAGTATTCTTGCACTTAATTTGCTGCAGGTTTTATTCTTAGAATTTTTTTTTTGTGGGTCTTTCTCTTATTAAGAAAGTCTCCAGAATCTTTTATGAAACTATTGTAACTTGATGTCTCACTAGTGGTCTTGTGACTGCAGGTGAGGGCCACTTTGGAGAAAGTGAGGAAGCGGATGTACGGAGACTACGACGAGATGAGGCAGAAGATACGCCAGCTCACCCAGGACCTGTCGGTAAGTCCGGGCCTCGGCAGTACCGTGGCAGTGAGAGGATGGCAGGGCTTGGCACCGGTGCCCAGTGGCCTAGAGATGTTTAAATAGCTCATGCTCCTTAGGAATGGAGAAGTTATACTTTAAACTAACTGAGAGGACATTTTCTCGAGCTGTAGATTATTCTTCAAGGGAGAATGACTAATAATCTTCCTTTTAGCTGCGTTACAAGGGCGGTGCACACTCTTAACTGCTGAGCCATCTCTCCAGTCCCTACCCAGATGGGTTCTAGTTAATGGCCTACTTTACTTTTCTGAAAGATGAAGTCTTGTGTAGTCCAGGGTGGTTTCAACTGCGCATGAAATTGAATTCATTCTGCTTCCACCTCCCCAGTGAAGGGATTATAGGTGTGCACCACCATGCCTGGTTTCCAGGGTGATGAGGATTAAACCCCATCATTGTGCCTGCTCTACCAACCAAGCCACAGTTCCAGCCTTCAAATTCCATCTTTAAGAATTGCTCTAAGAAAAAGCCCTCCCCATACAAAATGACATGTAGATGAATTAATTTTTTTAGCATCGTTTGTAATAGTTAAAAAATACACACCAAGAAAAAGGAAGTGTGTCCTCTCTTTCCTGGCCAGCTCTTTACCAACTAAGCTATCTCCCTGGCCCCGGATGTTAGTTTGTAATCTGTAGTTTTACCGTAAATATTACTGAAGCAGGTAAAGCTGCTCTCAGAAACTCCCCCCCCCCCGGAGTCTGTGGGGTGTGGGTTAATCTTGAGTGGCTGTCTTCCTCTCTCCAGGTTTCCCACGCTCGGCAGGACTACCTAGACAGTCACATCCAAGTGCAGTCATCAGCCCTGGATAACTTCAATGCCATGAACTCGGCCTTGGCGTTGGACTCGGTTGGCCTGCAGGTATCCCTCTGCTTCCCCTTGGCTGGGGACCTTCTCTTTAGAGGGCAGCGAGCTTAAACAGGAGTGGGGCCTGTGTGTAGAAATGTCACAGACTGTCCCATGGTCAGTCATTGTCCTTTAGTCACAGGCGTGATAAACGCATGTAAGGTGGGGAGGAAGTCGGAGAAAATGCTTCCAGCAAAAATGCTGAGGCTCTGTCAGGTGCCATGTCAATGGGGTTTTAGGCTCAGCTCTGGGATGGAGATGCCTCATGCTCTAAATGGTTCTCTGTATTTACGCAACACATCAGCTACCTTCTCCTTGTAGCTTGGGTGCTTCAAGAAGTCCCCACTTGGTTGCAGAAAAGACATATTTATCCAGTGACAAAATACAACTTCTCATGGGAAGTAGCTCTCACAGGAAGCACTCTTTCTTGACTTAGAAATGATTCTATGTTGGAAAGAGTACTGTGTGTTCCAGGGAATGAAGACATCCTTAAAAGACAGACATTCTTAATTAAGACCTATTACCAGAATTTGGCTTTGAGATAACCATTAAGGGATTTCCAGTCTTTGCTCTTCCATCCAAGGGGTTTTCTGCCTAGCATGCAAGTTCGTCTGAAGATGTTCAGAGCAAGCCCTTGGTCTTGCTTTCCAAATACACAATCGTTTCTGTCATCCCCCGAGTTTATTTGGCTTATCTTTTTTGTCCTCTTAAATGGTCAGCCCACTTCTTTCTAATCCTTTCTGGTACTGTGTAAATAGTTTTGTGGATAAGCAAACAGACCACCATACTGGGCTCCTTCATTTCCCACAGATCTTGGTATTCACCAGCCTTAGCTGATAGAGCCCCAGCGGCAACAAAGCTCGGCCAGCTTCCAGCAGTGGGTGGGGCAGGGCTGTGTTTGGGTTTGTCTGGGATGCCCATTTCTGGTTGGGCTGCAGTCCCAGGCTCTTCCTGGCTCCCTTTTGTGTATGCCAGCTTCCACCTGGCCTCAGGCCAAGCCCCTGATTTACTCAGGAGCCCTTTGTTCCCTTCCTCCTATCTTGAAGGGGGATTGCCAAGGCCCTCTTTCTTTCCCTTTTGGAAACATTTTCATTCCCCCGCCTACCAGAGAGGACCTTGCCCCACCTGAGCTTAGGCCTGCTTCTATCTGCACTGTCGCTGGGGTTTTCTCCCCAGAAAAACAATATATTTCTAAGCAAATTCTTCTCATGCACTGTTTAGTTGACAATCTAGGCATTTACCTTATTGGTCACTTATTAGAACAAGGTTATCTCCAACCCAAGGACCCTTAGTCTCTTAATCCTGGGCTGCCAACAGAGCCAGGCAACTAGAAGGTTACACCCATCGGTCATATCTGAAGGTCACTGGCTTCTTACCTGTGCAAGATCCCAGCCTCTTCCACTTGTCCCTTCTACCCGTGTTTGTCATTATTGACAGAGACCAGACTCTCGGCTTCAGCTCTTAGAAAGGCAGAGCTGGGCAGACTGTAGAGGTGGCCTCCAAATCCTGACTCCCGTGGATAAACTGAGGCCACAGAAATCAACGACATGAAGTGTCTAGTTAGTGGCAGAGACGGGATTAGACAAATCTGGTCTCTTGGTCAAGGCTAAGTGTTTGTGCATCCATTTTCTCCCAGAAGGACTTGCACGTTAGACTAGACGTCTTCTGCAGCCCTGGAATCTTCCAATGATTTCAGTGTTTCCTTTGGTAACTTTTTGCCTCTAGTGACAGTTTCTAAAGTGGTTCAAGTGGGTTTAGGTATGTTGCTGTCCAACGAGGAGTGGTGGAGAATCTTCAGAGACCAGTCATCTGTCAGAGAACAGAGATGGGCCTGCCACCTTGTAGGCAGACTTCCTCTGTTCTGCTAGTCAGCTCTGTCTCACCAGTCAGATCCCAAATAACCACACAGAAACTTATCAGTTATAAACACTCAGCCAATAGCTTAGGCTTGTTACTAACTAGGTTTTACAACTTAAATTAACTCATTTCTTGTCTACATTCTGCCATGTGGAGGTACTGTTTTTCATCATGGCATGTTCATCTCCTGTTTCCTCTGTATCTGGCTGGTGACTCCCTTCCTTCCCCACCCTCTTCCCCGACACACACCACAAATCCTGCCTAACTTCAACCTGCCTAGTTATTGGCCAGCCAGCTCTTTTATTAAACCAATCAGAAGGTGCCTTGGCAAAGACACATCTTCACAGCAGGCAGAAAGCTTATTTCACGGCACCATCTGCACCAGGTTCTGAGTCCTGCATCCCGAAGTTGCAGATAAAACCCACACCCCGTGTCCAGTGGTGGAGAGTACAGAACTATGGGAATCATTTTTCTCCGATTAATAGAAACAGAAGCAACAAACAGCAGCATTATTAGTTTAATAAGTTCTGACCACATGAGTGTACCGCAGCAACAGTCAACAGCATTTTTCCCCTGAGACATGGTCTCATGTAGCTCAGGCTGGCTTCAAACTCACTATGTAGCCCAGGGTGACCTTGAATTTGACCTTCCTGACTCTACTTGTTAAGCGCTATGATTACAGGCCTGAGCCACGATGCATCACGTATGCAGTGCTGGGAGTGGACCCTAGACTGTGTGCAGGCTGGGTTTATTCAGACCTGGAGGCAGGGGCTGAGGCAGAGAGTGGCGGAGCTCTGCTTACTGGTTGCTTCGCCTGTTTCCTTATATAATCCAGAACCTCCTGCCCAGGGGCAGCACAGCCCACAGTGCGCTGTGCATCCTCACATTGATGATCGATCAAGAAAATATACCACAGGCTTGCCCACAAGCCAGTCTGAAGGGGGCATTTTCTCAATCAAGATTCCCCTTTCCTAGATGACCCTGGCTTGTGTCGAGCTGACTTAGCAGCACACGAGCATCTGAACCACATCTGCGGCCCCCTTCACAGGCTCTTGACACTTGTCAGGCAAAATTGTTGACTTTATCTTCTAGTCTAGAAAACACTTTGGTTTTTGTTTATTTTATCGTGGAAATATAGAAAAGACAGGGAAACAACAAAATAGAAATAAATATCTCAATTCTGTTATGTAGCAAAAGGTATCATGGTTTGGATTTATGAGTGGGATTGGCCTGTGTTTATTACTTTACACATGCTCCCCCCGTGTGAAATGATACTATTATGAGCATTTTCCCTGAGAAAGATTCTCATTAATCCATCATCCCATCCTAAGCAGTGGCAAGCTAATGGCCCACAGCTGTTGGGGATGGTCGAGAAGGCTGTGGTCCACTAAGCCACAGTGGGATAGGCCCCAGCCACTGTAGGGACCCCTGGTTCCCAACCCGGGATCTGCTGCAGCATGACCCAGAGTGGGATGACATGCCTGTGGGTTCTCATACCACTCAATCTGGGCTTTTAATTTTCACCCAAATAGAAAACCCTTGTGGATGTGACCTTGGAAAACAGCAACATCAAGGATCAGATCAGACATCTGCAGCAGACCTATGAAGCGTCCATGGACAAGCTGCGGGAGAAGCAGAGGCAGTTAGAGGCTGCGCAAATGGAAAACCAGCTGCTGAAAATGAAGGTACGGCAACTGGCCTGTTCCCACTCACCTCTCGCTCCTCTCTTTAATTTTCCATCTCCGTTTCTCCATTCTCTTTCTCATTAGGCTTCCTTACCCACAGCCATGGTCTGAAGGTGGCAAGGAGGTGTCTGCCTCCTTGGGGTGTTGCCTAGAGTTGGGGTGCTGCACAGATATTGGAGGCATGCCTTTCTTAGCCTACAGTGTCAAGAAAAGGGTGTGGGCTCACAAGCCCCTCCTCCAATACTGTGGTTTTCAAGCTGTGTTCTGTGCAGCCTTAAGCTGTTCTGTGGATCATGTATAACTTATTGCCTAAGCCAGCGTGTGCTAGTGAAGGGTGGAGCTGCTGATAACTCAGGAAAACCGTCTGGCAGTGTGTCCTTCCCTGCGTCTGCCACGCTGCACAGCAGACTCTGTCGTTCACCTCTGGGGTCCTGCTATTATAGCCACCGTGGGGTCAGGCGCGGGCAGAATATCTCAGCCCCTCTTTGCTTTCCCTTCAAATAAGGCAACTTTTTCATTTTTTTTAAAATTCTGTATCTATGTATGTATCTGAGTGTGGTTTGTAGACCTGACAGCAGGGCCCACAGATCCCCCAGAGCTGGAGTTACAGGCGATTGTGAGTCACCTGATTGTGAGTTCCCGAGAAGGGAACTCGGGGCCTCTGGAAGACCAGTGCTCTTAACTGCTGAGCTGTCTCTCCAGCCCCAGGCCAGTCTTTCTGTTGGACAGTTTTATACATTCTATTTCTCTCTAGGAGTTACTTTGAAAATTAAAAAAGATTGTTGTGAAGGATGCCAGAAGTTCAAGACACAGTTGCTCACTGGTACCCCCACTACCCCCAATTCACCAGAGACACGATGGGCAAGGTTGTCTTCTGGCCTCCACACACATGGGTTTACTCATTTCCCAACCCCATGTAAGTAAAGGCAACCCAGATGCCCATCAGCTAATAAATGGGTGAAATGTGGCCAACAGCCCAGGTGATCGATCTGACTGATGTCTTCTGAGCACCCCAATAACAAAGGCAAGAAGGCAGAAGAAGGAAAGACCCCATATAAATAGCAGGGGTTGTGTTGCTCAGGGCATCTGTGGGTCCCCTATAGAAAGTTTCCCATATTATCTCATTATGTGCTATATATGTTTATGTGCATGTTAACATATAATAATACATACATTGTGCTGCATCCTCCTGATGAAGGCAACGCTCTCATAAACTTCAGCTTCCAGGTGGGAAAACTGACGTCTAGAAAGATTACATAATTAGCCTATGGTCTGACAACCGAAAAGGATGGAGTAGAAACATAAACCAGGCTGCTGAACACACACATCCGTGGAGGTGATGCTGCTTCCGTGAGGGTCAGGACTGGAGACAGGTGCAGGTGTCTCCTTTCTGGCCTTCAGTAAAGATATCATATCGCTGACCCAAGGCTGCTGCGGGTGTGCCCTTGCCCCTCCTATCAGGCTTCTGCTTGTCCAAGATGCCTGAGCACATGAGCACCTCACCTCTGGGAAAGGGAGGTGTCCTTTGGCCTTCATAACTTGCCTAGTGTTTACTCCAAAGCCGTGACAAGTCCCTCTTGATGCCCTTGAATGCTCATGTCTGGGAAAGTGTCGGCACCGAGAAGCCACAGGGTGGAAATTCACGAGCTTAGCCGGGCGGTGGTGGCGCACGCCTTTAATCCCAGCACTCGGGAGGCAGAGGCAGGCGGATCTCTGTGAGTTCGAGACCAGCCTGGTCTACAGAGCTAGTTCCAGGACAGGCTCCAAAGCCACAGAGAAACCCTGTCTCGGAAAAACCAAAAAAAAAAAAAAAATTATTAGCTTAGAACGCAGGTCCAACCTCACACTCCTTTCTACTGCACAAGTGCCATAGAAAAGGGCTCTGCCTGAGACCTATTCAAGCTGCATTCCAGTCATGTGAGGCACCTGGAGTCCCTGCAACCTCTTTCTTAGTTTGAGCTCCAGTGGTCAGGAGCAAACTCAGCATCGGTCTCTAAAAACAGGTCACTATAGGCTGGACACAAGGGACCTGGACTATCAGGCTACCTAGCCATGCCTGGTGACCTACCACCTCAGAGCAGACAGCAAGAGAGTGGGCAGACCCAAACGGTGGGTGCTCAGTAAGTGCTTGTGGACTGAACAGGCACACGAAGGTTCCCCCCCCCCCTCTCTCTGCTTGGGTTCTAGAAAAACTTTACTTAGCCCATCTCCCCAGCCCCAAGAAGTGACCTCCAGAAAGATCTTTGTCCCTGTCACCCTAAATAGCTCGGCGTACAGCGCCATCTTGCACTGGTATGTGCTGGACGCTGCTCTCTCTCTCCCCCTGCTCTCCCGCCTGCTGCTCCGGTCAACTACAGACCCTGGGAGTCATGTTCTGACCTCTGTGTGTAGAGACACAAGAAGGGCAAGGTCCAGGCTGCAGTTCTGCAATGAGACTCTTTGCAGGTGGAGTCGTCTCAAGAAGCCAATGCGGAGGTGATGCGGGAGATGACGAGGAAGCTGTACAGCCAGTATGAGGAGAAGCTGCAGGAGGCGCAGCGCAAGCACACTGCCGAGAAGGAGGTGCTCCTGGTGCGTGTGTGCCTCTCGGAACAGAATACGTAGGATGTGGATGGCAGGTTTAACAGAAAAGTTTAGTCCTCAAAGGGAGTCATGAGGTTGGATGTGGAGAGGAGTCAGGGGATTCATTCATTCATTCATTCATTCACTCACTCGTTCACTGTCTATTTCATGTGTGTGTTATGTGCATGTGTGCACTGTGTATACGGGTGTTCTTGCTCATGTGTGCACTTGTAGAGGCGACAGATTGATGCTGGTAGTGTGCCTCTGCCATTTGACCTGAACTTGGAGCTTGCCATTTAGTCTTGGCCCAGACTACCCACCCCCATAGCCCTGTGTTAGCCTCCACAGTGCTGGGGTCACAGGCATGCCCAGCCATGCCCAGCTTTTACTTCATGCTAGGAATCTGAACTCAGATCCTCATGCTCGCACACCAGGCTCTTCACCCACTGAGCTAATGCCCCAGTCCAGGGGATTTATTTGATTGTTTATTCACCCCCATTTTCTTCCTCCTGGAGTAAAATCTCCACTGTCTCTGTCTCGAAATACACATTTTTCCAGCTAATAGAACCATTAGCCCACATCCAAGTAGATCCTGGGTTTGTGGGTTTACTCGGTTTGTTCCTCCCATGTCCCCATCCTGGATTATACCATTGCCCCACCCTTGGAAGCTCCACCGTCTCCATCCCAAGGTCTGCCATTCCCACAGCTAGAAGTGACTCTTGCCCTCAGAAAGCCGTTCATTCTCCCTTCCTCCTCCTGGCTGTGGGATTGGACTGTGCCTCTGACTAGACGCAGACTCACATCAGCCTCTCTTGGAGGGCCCACAGTCTTTGGGGGAGTCCCTCTGCGTCTGGTTTATCGGTGTCCTTGGAGGTTTAATCAATGCACCAGATGTTTGGGTTTTTCCGTAAGAGTAACTTGGCACAATGCACGGTGGGAGGAAGATCTGGGATTTCCTCATTCTGTTCCAGTAGCATGTTGGCCCACACAGCAACGCTCTGAGCATGTATACAATATTATTTAAGCCTTCACAGCTATTTTGTTTTGTTTATTTTTTCATACCTTTGGAACATAAGCTTTTAGAGAGTTACTAGGCCCATTGAAAAGCCACACGAGGGGCCAATGATAGTGCTCAGCAGGTAAAGATGCCCACTGCCAAGGTGATAAGCTGAGCTCATCCTGAAGCCCACATGGTGGAAGGAGGGAGCATTGAAGGCTATCCTCTCCACACTTCTGACCTCCACGCACGTACCCTGGAACCCGTACCCCCCCCCCATACACAAAATAAAATCAGTTTAAAATCTTAAATAAAGTTGAAGAAGAATAGCTACACAGTGTGCTTTGTTCATAGGAGAAATCAGACTCTTAACAGTTGAGTTCTCCCTGTGATAAACGTGGGCCCCAGGTCATGCTTTCACAGGGAGATGATGACCCAATGAGGCACTGTCTGGACGTAGGTGAGTCACCTGGGTATCAGGGCCTTGCTGAGGAGAGTGTGTGCCTATTGCAGGAGGAAACCAATAGCTTTCTGAAAGCGATCGAAGAGGCCAATAAAAAGATGGAGGCAGCTGAGCTCAGCCTGGAGGAGAAAGACCAGAGGATCGGGGAGCTGGACAGGTTGATTGAGCGAATGGAGAAGGTAACTGATGCAGCCTGGGCCTGCTGCCCCCACTGCCCAGTCCCCCTGGGCCTGCTGCCCCCGCTGCCCAGTCCCCCTGACCCCACAGCTCCTTCAAGACCTACCTAGAGTCAGAAGCCTCAGTACTATCTCCTCTCAGCCCCCAGTTTTCAGTGCAATACAGCCTAATTAACACAGAAGGGAGCTGAACAACTTTCTTGTCTTCCTCTCTGGTAACTTATTCTTATTGTTGTTTGTTTCTGTAATGTTGGCAATCGAACCCACGGCCTTGTGTGTGTATTAGGCAAACCCCAGCCCAGCCCATCAAAATTATTTTGATACATTTAAAAAAAGTCACCTGTAAAATTCTTTCTACAGATTAATATTGCAGCAGCTAGCTGTGTGGGATCTCAAGACATACTTGTCATTTAACCTGATGAGGCAATGTATTTGGAGGCTCCATCAGCACCCCACCCCTCTTGTTTCTGGGGCATGTGTCTGGGACAGGTTGACTTTTCCATGACACGCCTGGGACCTGAATGAGATGGGGAGGTAAACTCATCTGTGTGTGGCAAACAGGCTGACAACGGGGTGGGGGCTTACAGCGTTGACAAGCTAGTCTTGGGCTGGGCTGCAGAAATGAGGCAGGAAGTGGAAGAGGAAAGACAGGAAGGAAGGAGAGGAGGAGAAGGCATGGTGACATTGAGCAGCTGACAGCTGACTTCTGGGTGGACTTCTGGAGTTGAGGGCCAAAGTCGGGTCTAGTTTCTGGAAGGTGCTGATAGCACTGACCCATCATGGACATGTTGTCATTAGCACCAAGTGCCAGACTCTGCAAGCTGGGACCCCCAACCCCAACCTAATGATGGAGTAAGACCCTGTCTCAGCTTCAGATAGATCTGAGGATGGGTCTCTGACTTCTACTTACTGGCTTGCCACCCAGGCCTTCACACCTCTGATGGGCATGATTATAGGTTCCTTTCCCTCTCCCACTCTGAAAACAGAATCTCACCACTTAGTTTGGAGCCTATGTAACTCGTACAGTTGTTTGGGTAGGAATTGCTGTGAGTAGAAGTGAGGCACAGCCTTCTCAGAGGAGTGCGCTCAAAGCAACACCCTGCCCTTAGTGGGCAAATGTGTTTTAAGGGACCTGGCTATATTAATATCTATAATATCTGTCTACTATCACTCCAATGATGACAGGCACTGTGCTTTTATTAACATTTTCCTGCTTTTTCTTTTCAAAGAAGTGATTGTAAAATTTCTTACTGTTTGGGGTAAACTGAAATTTACACAGGTATGTCTATGTATTCAGCAAAGTGCATGAAGTGCATAGCTTGATGCACCTGTGTTTCTCTTGCTGCTGAAATAAATTGCCGAAAAGTCAGCTTCTGTTCTGGAGGTGAGATGTCCCAGAACGACGACATTGGCAGGTGTTTGGAAGTTCTAAGACAAAGTCGATTTCCTTGCTCTTTCTAACTCCTGGGCACTACCTGTACTACTCGGCTTGTGCCTATACCCTGGCATCAGAGTCAGCCATGGAACATCTTCCTAGCCCCCTGATTTTAACTCTGCTGCCTCCCCTAGTAAGAGTTACACTCTACCCATGAGACTCTCCAGATCATTAACTATGCTGGCAAAGTTCCCTTCCTGTGTGAGATGATGTGTTTATAAGGGATTGACTCTGAACTTCTTTGGGTCGGGGGAGGGACCATTGTTCTGGCCATAATGGCTATCTGTTTTATTTGTGACTACCCCTGTGTAAACATTGCCAGATTTTCAGAGCCTCTTTGCTGGAAGATTTTGAAAACAATCAAGAATTGTACAATGCCACAGCCACTGATTTATTACATTTTTATCATTAGTTAGAAATATACATTTTCAAACTGGATGGTGGTAGCGCACACCTTTAATCTCAGCAGTCAGAAGGCAGAGGCAGATGGATCTCTGAGTGTGAGGCCAGCCAGGTGTACAGAGTGAGTTTCAGGACAGCTAGGGTTACACAGAGAGACTATCTATCTATCTATCTATCTATCTATCTATCTATCTATCTATCATAAGACATGTGAGCCTGGGCTGGTGCTCATGTGATTTGATTGGAGTGTTTTGTCTAATCCGTAAGTATGTCTATGCATTGGCCCCTTTGAATTTTGAGCACTGGGCTAGTAGATTTTTGACATCCAGGGGGTGATGTACAGACTCGGACACACCAGAGCTGGGCATATCTGGGGTTCAGCTTCTGTCTGGCTCCATTTGGCTCTATCTGGCTTCATTTTATCATGTCTCTTTTAGGAACGGCATCAACTCCAGCTGCAGCTCCTTGAACATGAAACAGAAATGTCAGGGGAGATTGCAGATTCTGACAAGGACAGGTGAGGCGGCCAACACACACATTGATGTTGTGTGTGTCTCTGTGTGTGTTGTATGCACATGTGTGTGTGTGTGTTCATGCAGACAGAGGCCAGAGGAAGATGTCTGGTGTCCTGTTCCCACCACTTTCTACCTTATTCTCTTGATCTTGGGTCTCTCCATGAACCTGGAGCTAGGCTAGAAGCCAGCAAGCCCCACTCATCCTTCTGTCTACCCACCGAGCCATGTCCCCAACACCATGTGCCCTGCCTTGGCTAGCTCACTTGACTCTTGTGTTTTCATTCACGTGGTCCTCACTTAGTACCGAACTATGTAAGTATGACATTGGCTGAGAATACCCAATGTGGGTCCAGTTCCTTCAGAAGCATACAGTCACATCTCACTGCCCAAGGCTGGCTGTTAGTTCAACGGGACGTATCAAAGATGGCCACAAACGCAGACGTTTGGTCTCTGCGTGCTCACGACCCTGATCTCCACAGGATACACCTGTTAATGAGATAACTCGTCAGCTGTGACTGACACCATTCGTCCTGGCAGTTAACTTTAAAGTGGTGCTTGTTCTCAAGCCTTGCATTGACCTTTGTGAAACCCCAGATGGAAAATACAGGAGCCGTACGTGGTCTTTTCTAGAAATCGAAAGGCAGAGAGGAAGGAAAGCAAGGCTGGGATGATTGGAGCACTTAGGAAAGTTATCTGACCCTGGAGGCTCTCAGCCTAACTGTCACATGGGAACTCTTTTTCTCAGTGAGGAATGTGGATCAGGTGTCTCAGCTATCACATTGGCATAGTATGTGCCGGGAAAAAAATGTTTTCCTCAGTTAAAAAAATTATGTTTATTTTTTTATTGTGCGGGTGTGTGTATATTTTGCAGTTGTTCCATAACATGGGTGTGGAGGTCAGAAGACAACTCTCAGGAATTAATTCTTTCCTTTGTCACATGGCTCATGTGGGGAATCAAACTCAGATCACCAGGCTTAGCCGCAAGCACCTCCAGCTGCTGCGCAGGTTCACTCACCCTTCTCCTGTAACTCGAGAATTTCCAAAGTTGCAGGGGTCCTTACTAGTTTTTACTTTGGTGCTAATGAGGGACCTGGTGTTGCTGAGAAATGGAGCAGAGACCCTGAACATCCTTCCAGGGTTCTGCTCTCATGACACACAGAACACAGTCATCTATCTGCCAGCTCCTTTTGGTTGGTTTGAGCCAAGCAACGACAGAATAATGTCTCTGAAAAAGCTCAGAAATGTTCTGTGGTGCAGGAGAGTGTTGCAGCGAAGGGCTTTCCACGTGGACCTTGTTTTTTCAGTAAGTGATGGGCACAACAGTACTGGCTGCAGGCTTTCCTGGACTCCACCCTTGATTTCAGGGCTTCCCTGGGTTCTTAGACTCCCCTAATTAAGGTCAGTGATTGCGTATCCCAGTCTGTATTAACCCCAAGCAGAAATCCTTTCATGCCTATCAGTGGAGAAAAAACTCATCTGCCCCAGGAATGTCATTATACAAAGTGAAACTTGAGGAAGGGATCTGAAGGATGCCTGTTCTCTTTCTGGGGTGATATGGATTCTAAGTTGATCCCTAGAGTTCCCTGGGAGGAGGGCGTGGCTTGAGTTTGAGTTTTTGTTCTTGCAATGCTTCTACAATGCAGTGGCGTTCTCTGTCTCCATGACTGTTCTGAGTCAGGGCTCAGAGCTTCTTTTTCCCCTTAGGTACCAGCAGCTGGAGGAGGCATCCGCCAGCCTCCGAGAGCGGATCAGGCACCTGGATGACATGGTGCATTGCCAGCAGAAGAAAGTCAAGCAGATGGTGGAGGAGGTAAGCTCTCACGGAAGCCTGGGACCCAGGACAGCTTCCTGTGGCGGGGAAAAGATACCACTCCAGCTCACACGTGACTGCCCAGGCCACTGTCATCACAGCCCAAAGGGACAGCTCCCCTTGTGCGCCGTGTGGACCAATGATTGTTCTTTCTAAGGAGGCTTTTCTCTAGACCGAAGTGTTGCCAAGTGCAGTTCACAGTGCATACAGTCTCCAAGGCCTATAGTTTAGGGGACAAAGGTGACAGAGGTGACCTCAGCTCAGGTTTCTGTGCATCTCCCAAACCCACCCTCATCTCCTGCATCACTGCTGTGCCCTGTCTCTGCTCCTGGGCGTCCTCTTGTGGTTCTGCCCCTTTCGTTCTGTTCTCCTGATGCTGTCTACTCCCTGTGTCCTCGCTCAGTCCTCACTCTTGTTTCTCCTTCATCTTTTCTCATCTGCATCCTTTCTCTCCTGTGGAATACGAAAAGTTAGATATTTAATCTGCTGGGGAAGTTAATCACTCGCTGTGTTTTCTAAATGAGAAGAAAAGCAGGTAGGTTGAACATGTAGTTCTCTAAGAAGAAAAGGAAATGATTTTGCCTTGGCTTATCATGCGCTGCCTCCCTTTCTTGTGATACTTGGTAAATGAAAATCTGTGAGTGGTTAAAGCTAGCCACACTGTCATTGTAGGTGTTTCTGACTTAATTTTTAAAAATTGGTAGAAAAAATTGGATAGAAAAATAACAGTAACTGTCATAAGAATATATAAGTAAGAGTTCTAAGACTATCTAGGGTCTAATTCTCTAACTTGAAGAATAAAGTCAAATGAATAAAAAGTTTGGTTGACAGAAGAAAACAGGAAAAGCTCTTTTACTTATAATAATCACTATTTTAAAATATGTGTCCATCTTATGTATGCCTGTGTATGCGTGTGCTCATGTACATGCATGTTCCATGTGTGTACAGGTGTGTGAAGAACAGGAGACAACCTTACTGTTTTGTCTCAGGCACCATTCACCATATTCTGGAGACAGGGTCTCTTACTGGCCTGAAGCTTGCCAATTAGGCCATTCTGGCTGGCCAGTCAGCCTCAGGCGTCCTCCTGTCTCCACTTCCCCAGGGCTGGGATTGCAAGTGTATACCACCACTCCTAGCCTGTACCACCGCACATAGCCTGTACCACCCGCGCATAGCCTGTACCACCACACCTAGCTTGTACCACCATACCTAGCTTGTATCCCCACACCTAGCCTGTATCACCACACCTAGCCTGTACCACCATACCTAGCCTGTATCCCCACACCTAGCCTGTATCACCACACCTAGCCTGTACCACCATACCTAGCCTGTATCCCCACACCTAGCCTGTACTACAACACGTAGCCTGTACCACCACCATAGCTAGCCTGTACCACGACACCTAGCCTGTACTACAACACCCTGCCTGTACCATCATAGCTAGCCTGTATCACCATACCTAGCCTTTCCATAGGTTCTGGGGTTGAATTCTGATCCTCATACTTGTAAGAAAGTACATGACCAACTGAGGTCTCCCCAGCTCTATGACAAATTTTGAATGAATCATGAATATTTAAAGTGTAGCTCTTTTCAGTAAATTTATACGTGACAGATAAAATTAAAAGCGTATCTACTTTAGCAGTCTAGAAGATGCCAGGTGTTCCTGTGGTAGAGGTAAAGTCAGGGAATTATGAGGGTGGGAGGGACACTGTTTTATTAGGTCTAGAATAAACATCCACAGTAGATAAAATCTTGTCTCCAACTGAGAAGTCAGCCGTACCGAGTGGAGTCTCGTATGGCTCACACGCAAGAGTGCACGGGGCAGCAGAAGAGGGGAGGAGCCAAGCTGCACCTTCTTGAACTCATGCACTTCGTGTGGGAGCATCAGAACAGTGACGGGCGAGATCCCATCCCACCCCACCCCACCCCAGCACGGGCAGAAGTGTGTTTGCTAAGGGAAGGCATCTGTCATCTTGATGGACCTTGGCTATCAGAGCACACCCTCTCCACCTCCGAGCTTCCCGCATTTAAAGTTGGAGGCAGGGTAGTGTCTTAATTTGCGTGGTTCTCACTGGGGCTACCATTTCTCTTTCCTCACAGCAGGGGTGTGTATTGCTCGTGTGTGTAGTAAAGAAGCTCTGAGTTAGCCTCGGGTTGATTGGCTTTCGGGTCGGTTAAATCCTTGTCTATCAGATATTGCGACTGAGGAATTTTGTTCTAGAATATTTCAAGGATCCCAACATTTTTGGATACTCAAGTCTCATATATAAAATGGCCGTGTGTGTGTGTGTGTGTGTGTGTGTATAACACCTGTAATCCTCCTATGTATTTTTTTTTAAAAAGATTTACTTATAATGTGTGTGTCTTTGTGTGTTTGTGTTGTATGAGTTCACTGCTTGTTTCATCCAGCAGAGGGCGTAAGATCCCCTGGAGCTGGAGTTACATGGGCAGCAAGTGCTCTTAACTGCTGAGCCACCTCTCCAGTCTCCCTTCTGTGTGTTTGAAATTATTCTAGATTACTTACAATACTGAATACAGTGTAAATTGCTGCTTCTCTCTGTATTTTTTAGAGGGTAACGATGAGGAGAAAAATCTGTACATGTTCAGCACAGATGGAATTTTATTTTTTCAACTGTTTTTAATCTGAAGGTGGTTGAATCCATGGTATGAATCCCGTGGATACAGAGGGCTGGATCTGCATATGCGGGTGTGTGTTTAAACAGGGACGTGTGCAAAGATTGACATCCATGCCTTTTATTTCACATTTCCCACGCAAACTTCTCGCATTGAGTTGTGGGAGATCGGTCTATGCGGTGAACCAGCACGCACCGTCAGAAGAGCTCGGTGAGCAACACTGATGCTGCCTACCAGCTGCCTGGGCTTTAACAGCGAAAGCAGATATTTTTTTAAAGTCTATATTCTGAATTTAAGATCTTTTAATCAGGAAGTAAAAATAATCCAGTTTGTCCAGCACACAGTGATCACGCCTACAGAAAAAGAATAGTTTTTTTTTTTTAAAAAAAAATCTTAATTATTGTGGGCACTTATGTTGTTTAAAGTTAAAAGTGTGGAAGAGTGTCATGGACAAGTGAGCGTGTTCAGAGGAGCCACCAGACTGAAAGGAGACAGGAGTTGGTGGAGGGCCGGGTGGAGAGTCTGAGGAGGACATGGTCAAGGTGCTGGGCTGACTGGGGTCTTAGAAAAAGGGGTGGGGTGTTATTCTGGTGCAAGGCCAGGCCAGAGCCACTGGGTGGCGCTCTCAATGAGGGAAGCATGGAGTCTTTCAGAACACAGGCAACATTTAAGATACTGGCTGCTCAGAAGAAATAGTTATCCCAGATCACAGGTGCACCCCTTCCAAAGTGAGAAAGCGAACCCAGAGCTTGCTAGTGTTGCTCCTGGGCCCCGTGCGATCTGCAGGGACAGTTGGTGGAAATCTGCTGAGTCTGACAATGTTCTTTATTTTTTCTTAATTGTGTGTATGCATATGTACCTGTGTGTGTGTGTGTGTGTGTGTGCGCGCGTGCATGTGTATGTGTGTGTGTGTGAGTAGGCACATGTAGAGGTCAGAGGATAACTGTATGGAGTCAGTACCTCCTTCCACTTTTAAATGAGTCCCAGGGCTCGAACCCAGGTCACAAGGCTTGTACAGCGAGTGGCTTTATCCACAGAGCCATCTCACTAGTTCTGCCACGTTCTTTAGATAAAAGACTCTCTCTCTCTCTCTCTCTCTCTCTCTCTCTCTCTCTTTCTCTCTTTCTCTCTCTCTCTCTCTTTTACATAGTCTGTTACTGTGATCTCAGCTTTGTCGTTATGTAAAGAGAGTACACACACAAAAACATAGCTCTCACCTCAAACGGAATAAGCGATAGTTCACTCTGGAGCCAGCTTTGAATGGCCCTACCTGGATGCATACGTTCAGGCTACCCCAAACTCCATGTTCCAATGTGGTTAGCTGTTTTGTAAAGTCTTTATAGTTACAGAAGAGAAAGAAATCGTAAATCAAGGCACTTTTCAAGTACATTGTTAGGAGCCTCGGGCAGGCAGGTCTCGGGTGGTGTTTGTTGACACCCTTAGCTGCGGGGCTGTTGAAAGCTAATGACCAGTTAGGTTAATATATCTCAGAAGGTCCTACCTGGTCGTCACAGGGGTATTAGGTCAGACCCAGCTGGGCAATTAATAACAGCCTAAGATAATTTGGCTCTGGATCTGCAACATTCTTACTCCCCACAACCAGCAAGCCCTCGTCAGTCATCCGGCCTTGTACAACCTTTGGCATAGGTGTGGCTTTTTCTGAGGACTCCAGTTTCCCATTCACAAAATCAACAAAGTCACAACTCAGTCACCCCAGGTCACTTGGGCCTCATTTACGTACTGAATTAGTCACCGTGGAATGCTGAGTTCTCACTCCAGTGGAGAAGTGTATTTTTATCTGTCAACACCTGGTACCCAAAGGGAGAGGCAGCCTGATGGTGCAGCTGCTGCCAGGGATGCTTTCCCTTGACGTCCCAAAGCTTTTCTGTGCACAGACTGGGACTCCTTGGTGACGTCTCCTGTCATTTTTGGTCCTACTTTGGCAACTATAGTTTTAAACAAAGCGTCAGTGTGGGCTTGTTTATCAGCCCCAAACATTCAGTTCTCACTCGCAAGTTTCCTCAAGACCTTTTTGTGTTAAGCAATATATTTTCCCTACCTCAGTAGAATATCTTTTTGTTTGTTTGTGTTGTTGTTGTTGTTTGAGACAGAATTCCTCTGTTGTCCTGGAACTCACTGCATAGAGCAGGCTGGCTCTCGAACCTGAGATTCGCCAACCTCTGCCTCCCAAGTGCACCACCCCTTCCTGACATGAATATCACTTTTCAGAGCAGTGATCAAGATAAAAGTGATTGTCCCAGCTCCTGCTGCTGTCTTTTGGCTTCCACTGTGTGGAGCAGTGAGGTCTTGCACCGTGTAGTAAGGCCAACTGTGTGCTCCTTAACTGCGTTCCAGGTTGACTCTTA